AAGTAGAGAAGGGAGGAGAGATCGGAGAGGAAGAAGGAAGGAGGGACAACGAAGTGGAAGGCAGACAGTGGGGGTGAACAAAAAAACAAAAAGGGAGAAGAAAGGGCGAGAAAGAAGAAAGGTGGAGGAGGAAGAGAAGGGAGTTTGGCAAGGAAGAAGGTGCCGACAGTCATAGCCGACCTAAAAGTTGACCAAGCGTTGACCGAGGCCTTGACCGGAGCCGTTGACCACGATTTTGACCAAGCTGGAGTTGGTATAATCTCGCCAATCCCTTAGCCTATCCCCTCGCCCTATGGATGTGCACTCCCCTATGGTACTTGCTGAGTTTGAGTTTGTTTGTCTCTTCTTTCTGCATTGAGTCTCTTTTGTCCAGATGATGGGACTCCGTGTATGAAGGATAGGGCCTCGTTGACCAAACCCACACGGGCTGAGTAGGGCTAAAGACTGTGTCTGACGACTCGACTGTCCCGGAGGACACGCTCCCAAGGACCGGTACTGACCGGCGGGCTGCTCGATGTGGCACGGTAGGCCCAAAATCCGAGTTGTGGGCTGCACAACGGGCCGTCTAAGACTTGAAAGGATCTGCTGACCGCGTCATCCTGTTTGCGACGTTAAAGTATTCCTGAGGAGTTACGGGGGATCTCCTTAAATGCCTCCTGGTCAGCAACAGATCCTGTAGTGACGGCTGTAGTATTAGAGTCCAGGCTAGAGACCATAGTTAACAGGGTTCTATACGGATCCTGTGGTCCATAGACTGAGTCAGTCTTAAGTAAGTCGGTCAGGGGGGACGTCTAAGTGGTGAGGAGCGGAACCGTCACTTTGGTTGTGCGTCTGTCACCATGGTAGACACGCGTACAAGAACGAGCACCTCCCCTTATACGGCAGAGCAGGATGCGAAGGCCGCCGCCATCCTGAAAGAGAGAAGAGAGAAGGAGGAGGCCAAGAAGAAGGCCTTGATAGAAGAACAGGCGGCGAAGTTGAAGAAGATTTAGGAGGAGATGGCCAAAGAAAAAGAGAGGTTAAAGAAAGAAGAAGCAGAGAAGCTCAAGGCAGTAGAAGAGGAGGAAGAGGTAGAAGAACCACCGCTGGAAAGGCGAAGGACAGGAGGGAGAGGGGAATCCAGTGGAACAAAGGAAGATCGGATGGAGAAAAAGATTACGAAGTGGGTTGCTGGTTTATCCCTGGGAGAATAAGAGGAGGCACTAATGTATGTGCCCAGGGAAGAACAAGAGGCGGCCATGAGAGAGTGGGATACAGAAGAAGACCCACTCAAGCGGCAGGCTATAGAAGATGAGAAGAGGATGGAGTGGAAGTTCCGACTGACGAGGGAGAAGAAAAGGAGAATGGAGGCGGCGAGCCGGGCAGCGAAAGAATTGGAGGAGGTAAAGAAGCAAAGAGCGCAGATGGCGACGCAAGTGGACTTACTGGGGAAGATGGAGATCATGGCGAGAAACATAGAGCGTCTGGCCCAGGTCCGGGAAGAACAATATATGTTTGGTAGAGGTCAGAACATTGCCTTGCGCTCTATACGGCTGGGACTCAGGGACTTTGCAAGGGAATTAGCGACGCCGGTGGGCTCACAGGTGAAGGCCCGCCTAGAGGGCACGGAGCGTTATTGCACGGGTGCCATAGAAGGCGCCAGACTGACTGCTCCCAAGGAGGAGGAAGCACGTCCCCGAAGGGAGCCTGTCAAGGTCAAGTTCCCTGACTCCTATAGCGGGAAGAAAGAGGACAATTTTGACAATTGGGAAGCCAATGTCAAAACCTACGTACATCTGCAGAAGGTCTTCCCGGACGAGCATGTCCTTATAGTCGTCCATGCCCTCCGAGACGAAGCAGCAAGCTTCGCCCGTTCCTTGTGCCGCGCCGCCAACTGTAATGATGGTTTACTCGCTTGTTCTGCGCTCACTCCCCTCACTGACTTCCTTAAGTTATTGCGCGAACGATTCCTAGACGTCTCACGCAGTGTTAAAGCCTCTGATAGATTGCAAACCATCCACTCTTGTCAGTGGAAGAGTGCGAGAGCACTCAAGGGGGTGATGGACGAGCTAATCGTCGTCCCGGACCATGGGGTCACTGAGACCCAACTGGTCAACCTCTTCTATCGCGCAATGCCCGAACAGTTGCGCGGGCATTTCTTTGAGAAGAGTCAGCAGCCTACCATGACCTACGACGCCTTGAGCAGGGAAGTGGTAGCCTTTGAAGCACGGTCCATGTCAATCTCCASTTTTTGGCATAAGGACCTAGACAAGGGCAAAAAGTGGAAAGGTCGCACCATCTCAGGACAGGTCAAGACCAAGGATCGCTTGATCCTTACCTTAGATGAGGGTGGTGTAGACGAAGTTCCCTACGAGCAGATTGAGTGGGGGCTTGAGGAAGAGGACAGTAGCGTTAGTCAGGGGAGGACCTACGCTGCTGTTGCGGCTGGAGGGAGGCCGCAAGGAGGAGGTACAAGCCAGGGCCAAGGGGGCCGGGCGTCAAGGGGCCGTTCCCAGAGCGATCAGGGGGTTGGCGGTAAAGGAGGAAACCACCAAGTGTGGGAGGAAGGGGTCAAGGTCCCCCGCAAAACCGTTAAGGGAATGGGTCGCCTAATAGAGGGAATAGGTCACCGAATAGGGGAAACAGGGCACCCTCTTGGAGAGGCGGTTGGCACCCAGGGCTGCCACAGGGCCGGCCTTGGGAAGACTTGGGCCTGGACCAGCACTTATGGCAACAACGTGTGGATCAGGGGCAGTGCATATATTGTGGTGACCCTGGCCACATCATTAAATACTGTCCAAAGTATAGAGAGGCCAGTTCGGCTGCCCAGGGGTCAAAAGGCAGCCGCCGGTAGGGGTAGCAACTGCCCCTACCATAATTCCATGTGGGGAAACGAGCGCGAGCCGGCAGGAAACTCCTACACCACATGTGCCTATGGCGGAGGTTGCAGGTCGGTGCCTAAACAGCTGTCCAGAGACTGCTTGTGTTAGAGTCTCTTTAGGCAGCTCCCTCATAGGCGTGGCCGATGAGCTGAAGGAGAGAATGCCCACCTGGGCCAAAATGAAAAAGGAGAGTAGGTGACAACTAGTATTAGTAGATGTAGACATTTTCAGAGGTAGAGTAGGGGCCCTAGTGAATAGTGGGGCCACGCGCAGTTATATTAGTAGAAAGGCGCTGCATAAGTTGAAGTTGGGGCTAAAAGTCCAGAAGTTAACAGACCCCATAGTGAGTATCCTCGCAGACAATCGCACAATGCGGGTAGAGGATTACGTAGAGGGAGTCCAGGCGTACTTTCGCCTAGAGAAAAATGGGAAAGTGGAGAAAGTTCTCCATTCCCTGACTCTCCTCATAGAGGACATCCTTCCCTTCGATATAGTCTTCGGAATGGACTGGGGAGAGGCAGTCGGGGCCACACTCCATTTGAGAGAGCACGAGTGTAGGCTCCCTACCCCATCAGGCGGGGTCAAGACCGCCCGTCTGTTTCATGTGTCAGGAGTAGACAACTCCCTGGCACATTGTTGCCTTAGCGCTCCTGCGTTCGCAAGGTTAGTGAAGAAGGAGCAGCTAGAAGAACAGGTTTTTGTAGCCTATGTTAGGCCAGTTACTGAGCCTAAAGAAGAAAAGCCCATAGATCCAACCATTGCCAAGCTGCTGGAAGAGTACACAGATCTAGCTAAGCCACCTACAGGGGTAGTCTCGCGGCCCATCCAGCATCGCATTGAGATCGAACCTGGCAGCAGGACTCCTAAAGGAGCAATGTACAGGATGTCCCCGCGGGAATTGGAGGAGTTGCGCAAGCAGTTAGATGAACTTCTAGAGAAGGGTTGGATTAGGCCCAGTTCGTCTCCATTTGGAGCACCTGTTCTATTTGTCCCAAAGAAGGAGGGAGAGCTTAAAATGTGCGTTGACTATAGGGGTCTCAATGCTATCACCGTGAAGAATGCGGAGTCGTTGCCCCGTATAGATGATCTTTTAGATCGGGTGCAGGGCTGCAAGTATTTTTCAAAGATAGACTTAAAGTCCGAATATCATCAGATAGAGGTCCATCCTGATCATCAGTATAAGACCGCGTTCCGGACTAGATATGGGCACTACGAGTTTATAGTTATGCCCTTTGGACTAACCAACGCGCCAGCAACTTTTCAGCGTTGTATGAACGACTTGTTTAGGTCGTGGTTAGACAGGTTCGTAGTAGTCTACTTAGATGACATTCTAGTGTTTAGTAGGACCCTCCAGGAGCATGAGGGTCACCTGAGGCAGGTCTTGGAGAAGTTGAGAGAGGCCAACTTCAAGATCAATGCAAAGAAGTGCGAAAGGGCAAAAACCCAAGTTCTGTATTTAGGCCATGTTTTAGATGGAGACGGCAGCAAACCCGAAGATGAAGATAGTAAGATCGCAGGGATTAGAGATTGGCCTACACCCCGCACGTTGACAGAGTTGCGGTCGTTCTTAGGCCTAGCTAACTATTACAGAAAGTTTGTGAGAAACTTCTCCACCATCGCTGCACCCCTTCGCAGGTTGTTGAAGAAATAAACAATCTGGAGATGGGATAAGGACTGCACGTCTGCTATGAAGAAGTTGAAGCAGGCGTTGATAGAGTACCCAGTCCTTAAGGTAGTCGATCCGTCCTTACCTTTCGTCGTCACCACTGACGCAAGCCAGTATGGTATAGGTGTTGTATTACAGCAAGACGATGGCAACGGGTATAGACCCGTAGAGTTCATGTCTGCTAGGATGCCTTCAGAGAAGGTAGCGACATCTACCTACGAGAGGGAACTCTACGCTCTCAGGCAAGCATTAGAACACTGGAAGCACTACTTGCTTGGGAGGCACTTCAAAGTCTACTCAGACCACGAGACATTGAGGTGGCTGAAAACGTAGGCCAAGATGACACCTAAGCTTACTAGGTGGGCCGCAGAGTTAGACCAATATGACTTTGAGCTTAAGCCAGTCAAAGGGAAGTATAACGTAGTTGCGGACGCTCTAAGCAGGAGAGCTGACTACTTTGGAGCAACAGTTCATTATCTGGATATAGGGAGAGACCTGCAGCAAAAAGCTTGAGAGGCGTATGCGCAGGGCCCTATCTATGGTGACCTCCTCAAGAGAGTAAAGAAGGCCCCAGAGTCCGAACCAGACTACCGCACTACTGATGGGCTGCTATTCGAGAAGACTAACGTAGTTGACCGATTGTGCGTTCCTAACAGTGAAGAGATCCGTAGTTTGATCCTAGGGGAATGCCACGATACTGAGGGACATTTTGGTTGGCAAAAGACTCTAGCTAACCTCATGCGCGCGTACATATGGCTTGGGATGAAGGTCAACTGCATAGAGTATGTTCGCAGTTGTAAGGTCAGCTAGAGAAATAAAACCTCTATGCGTGCCCCTCTAGGTCTTCTCGGACCCTTGCTTATTCCTGATCAGCCAGGAGATTCAGTGTCCATTGACTTTATGGACACCCATGTCAAGAGTAGGCACGACAAGAGCCAAGTCATGGTAATAGTTAACAAATTTAGTAAGTATGTTGTTTTTGTTCCTTTGCCCTCAGAGGCACGCACAGAGTTAGTTATTCAAAGGTTCTTTGATCATTGGGTCAGTGAACACGGGATTCCACTGTCTATAGTTAGTGATAGAGACACCCAGTTCATGAGTCAGAACTGGCAAGAGTTGATGAGAGTCTATGGCTCCAAGCTGTTGATGTCATCTGGCCGTCATCCAGAGACTAACGGTCAGACTGAACAAATGAACAAGATCCTGCAGCAAGTTCTGCGAATGTACATTAGACCAGATCAAATCAATTAAGACGAGATGTTGCCCAAGGTAGCCAGTGCCTATAACAATAGCGTGCACTTGTCCACCTGTCGCACTCCCAATGAGTTGCACAAGTCCTATAAACCACGTAGACCGTTTGAGGGACTTAACCGGGACCAGATTCACAGGCTACCGCCCGGTACTAGGGAGTTTGCGTTACAGCACGAGAAAGAGTTAGCTACCGTGGTAGAGAACCTCAGGAAGGCCCAACACCGAGTGATAGAACAAGCTAATAAGCACCGTCGCCCGTCACAGTTTCAAGTAGGCGACCTGGTTTGGGTCAAGTCCAAAGAGTTTGCTCCTGAGGAAAACATCTCGCAGAAGTTACTGCTCGCGCATAGAGGACTGTGGCCAGTTCTAGAAGTAAAGGGCGGAGAGGATGGGTCGTCCTACACAGTAAAGATCCCAACACACCTCCACACCTACCCTATATTTCATGCCTCAAAGTTGTTGTCGTGTGTCACAAGTCAACGATTTCCATCTAGGAGATCCATGATTCCTCCAGACATGGATGGAAGGTACGACATTGACGGCATTGTAGGTGAAGACATGTTCAGAACAGGAGGTAGAGGTCGTCCGCAAAAGCAGTATAAAGTTCGGTTTGCTTATCAGGAACCAGAGGACGACCGCTGGTTTACTAGAACAAAACTTCTAGAAACAGCTACCGACGTAGTTAGAGCCTAAGAGAGAGATAAGAAAGGTAAAGGTCCTGCCTTGGACTAAGTTATTCTCGGAGGACCTCGAATTTAGGCCGGCGGGAGTGAAACGGTTTTCACATGTTAGCAATAGCGAATGCAGATCCCAGGACTCGACCCCTAGTTCTCACCTTACCTGTGTACAGTATCTGTGCCGACCCCAGGAGTTGAACCCATGACCTGTGTCTTTGTAACAGTTGGTAGGGTGTCGTAGGGTCTATAGGTTGTAGGGGTTCGATTTGTAGATCTGTCGAGTAGAGGTCTTAGGATTTCTAGAAGTCGTAGCTTCAGGATTTCTGAAAGGTCAAGGTTGTAGCTGCTACAATCCTGAAAGGTTAAGGTTGTAGCTGCTACAGTCTCCGGAAGGCCAAGACTAAACCTTCCGGAAGGTCCTAGTATTGGCCTTTCGAAGCTGCTCACATTTGAGACAGAGGCAAGTGGGCAAGTGGTGGAGTCTACCCGTGCTGAGTCGGCAGTCCCAGTCCCAGTAAGTCCTAGTCCAGTCAAGCAAGTACCGTACGGGACTGTGTGCACCACAGGCATGGGAAAGGGCCAGATCAATGAGCTACAGAAATATAAATTGAGAGGCAGCGACCAGCCATTCATTCATTCCTGCGGAAGCCATGCGGAAGTGCTGCCACAGTGACTTGTGCGAGGTGGTCTGCAGATGCGCCTGAAAGTCAAAGTGGGCTGAAGGAGAGTTAGCGCAGCCATAGCTGCTTGGAGGTAGTGTTAGTTGGCGGCCATAGCTGTCGTAGTTAGTGATAGGTGTGTATGCGTGGGTGTTACAGAGTGCGTGCGTGGGGTATCCAGGGTGATCCAGAGTTGAAGTGTGAGCGAACAGTGGTGTTGGACACAGTGACAAGAGTTGGGATGTATAGGTGCTGATGCACCATAGCCTGTTGAAGCGAGTTTGCATCTGAACTGTGTTCTTGGCTTCCATATCTCTGAGCTTTGAGTTGGGTGCTATGCGCCAGTGTGAATCACCATCTGTTTGTAGGCATGCGAAGCGAAGAAGTGAGCGAGTCTGATTGCAAGGGAATGGTACAGCGCATACAACTCCTAGGTGTTAGCTGCCACTCTAAGTGATGGCATGTGCTTGGACAAATACTCCACAGGCCTCAGGTCATGCCCATCATTTTGCTGCAGCACCGCTCCCACCCCAAAATGTTTGGTATCCGTAGTCAGCACAAATGGTGCTAAAGGATTAGGACTATGGAACCATTCAGAATCACATACAGGATGAGATGGTCCTTGGGAGTCGAAAGGGACACCCTTCTGTGTCAAATAGTCAATGGTGTGGCGATCCTGGCTCGGCCCTCAACGAACTTTTTGGAGTAGTTGACCATGCTAAGGAATGACCGCACATCCCTCACTGTTTGTGGCCTTCACCACTATGCAATGACCTCTATCTTCTTCACCTCCAACCGAACCCAGACCCAACGATGACATGCCTAAGACATAGGATCTCATCCTTCCTGAACTCGCTATTCTTGGCATTGACCTTGTACTTCCCTGTTCGCAGTGTTGTAATGTACACTGCTCCTCATGCACACTGCTGAACACGAGGATGTTATCCAGGTAGACCACTGCAAACTGATCCAGATACTCCCGAACCAGATTCTTAAAAAAAAAAACAAGAAAAACAGCCCTGGTCTATAGGTGGAGGGCTTCACCTGCCGGGAACCGGGCCCGGTGGAAAACGACATGGACTTCACGCTCTCCCGCGTTACGGCCTGGGAACCACTGTCAACATTGATGGCTCCCCTCAGGAAGGATTAACTGACAGGCAAGCCCACTCAGTTTGTCACACACCCCTCCGCCCCCTACTTTGCTATCCCTTTGGTCACCAAAAACTACAGACAACCACCCGTTACAGCCCAGGAGGCCACTGTCAGCATTGATTGCTCCTGCCAGGGAGGAGTAACTGACATTTCAGTCATCTTGGTTGTCACAACCCCCGTGCCCCCCCCCCCACCCCCCCCTCTTTGCTACCCCCTCTGACAACAAAACCGCAGGCAAGGCAGGGCCCAGGGTCCTCTGTTCTTTATTTTCAGCTTGAAGCTATGCTGATGCTTGAGGCCGACTGCCCACTGTGTAGTGAGCGGGCCTCCCCCCAATCGGGGTTTCCCTTGCTCCTTCCGTCCACCTGGATTTGCGTGCCAGGTTGAGGATATCCCTCTCCAGCGAGCATAGCTTTCCGCTTTCCAAGGTGTCCTTCATTATTCATGGCTTGGGGAAATGTTACAGGTCCGCTGGTCAGCCCAAACGGCATGACAACATAGTTGTAGACACCCGTCCTGAACCCCATCTTGCGTTCTCTGAGGCTCCACCTCAATTTGATGATATTCAGGTTGATCTTGGAGAAAACTTTGCGGCACTTGGCTCTATCCAACAGGTAATTCTGGAAGCAGGCATTGACAGTAGTTGCGCTACTCGCCATCTGCCAAAATTCTGAATGAATCTCAACAGGGGAATCCGTCCTGATGCATTCAAAATGTTGGCGGATGGGGATGCGTGCAACTAGGCCCATTGTCAATCTCTGTCTTCAGTACTCTTCACGATCACCTTCTCTTCTTCACGGACTCCTTCAATGTGCCACTCTGCCACCATAGCCTTCTTATTGCATCACACAGACGCATCATCCTTTGCACTCCGTTGTGCTGGGTTGTTCCCACAGTGCGACGGTCCAGCCGAAAGCACTGCGTCGACCGCTGCTCACTGGTCCATAGTGGTAACCACTTCTGCAGTCTTCCCTATCTGGCTACTACCTGTGGGTGCTCGCAGCCTTGACTGACTGAGGTTATGGAGTGGGAGAACTTGGTTCCCTACAACTTGCAGGATTGCTTTCTCCAACCTGTGTGGATTGGGCTGCACCATGTACCAACCTCATCCTTTTGGATCAAGTGTCCATAGCGACGACTGCATTTTCCATATTGTCCAACTTCCAACCCATTTACCCGTACTTCATTTGAAACTCCTCTCACCCATGCCAGTATCTCACTCTTTTTTCTGCCCTTCGAGCCTTGTTATATTCATGGGTAGTTGTTTCGTTGACCACCTGAAGAATCACGTTTCTCTAACTTTCTCGTCATGCCCGCTTTGCCGCATGCTCTCTTGCTTTCTGCTACTGCTGCTACTTCCCTTCACAGCCAGATTAATTTCCTGCAATGCAACAAGGATTCCTGGACTTTGGTTCCCTGCAGATCAGACGCCTCTCTTTCTTATTACTCTCTCCGGGGGCTGTCCTCTTCTCTATCATCATCTGAAATTCCCTAGCTGCTGCTATTGCTCAAACAAGCTGGCCTACTCAAGACTCCAGCAAACAGTTTACATTGTCTCTTCAACGTTCTTCTCTCGTGCACTGAGGTAAAACCTTCACAGCCCTTCCCCAAACCCCCGAGTCACAGCAGTCCCCTCTGCAGACCGCAGAGCAAGAGTCCAACTTCAGTGCCTCCATGCGGCTGGTCTTCAACTCCTTGCATTGGGGACCCATGTGGCTTGCTATTTTCTTGGGGAGAGCCTGGATAGAAGCGTACATGAGAAGACCTTCACATACCTCCAGCCCCAGAATCTGGTCAAACTCCCGGACCAGATCATGAGCCATGGCACAAAAAGTCCATGCATCCAGCTGAATGTAAGAGAGTACATGCCCGATCTCAATAGATAACAGTCGTATACTTCTCCCACAGTTTTTTCTGAGAAAATGGCGGGCAATTGGTGTACTCAGTACTGACCATACTTCGCCATGTCACCCCCTGCCTGCAACCACTCCTGCGCTACCTCCTGCAGCAGGGAGAATTTGAAGTGCATCTTATATGAATCCTTTGTTAGCCCATAATAATAAATGTGCTCATTGACAAATCGAAGCCAGCAGCCAACATTGACTTTCAGCGCCAGGTACAACTTCAGCTTGGAGGACGTCTTGTGGCCTTCCACTCCAAATAATATGGGTCACCTTCCCTTCAAAAAAAAAAAAAAAGGGTCACCTTCCCTCTCGAAGAGGAAGGGGGTATGTCGTGCTAGGAGCTCAGCCCAGCACCCACTCAACACCCTAGCGAGAAATTCAACTTGCTGTCAATGGAAGCCATCTCGACCCTTCTTGCAGCCGGCTCATCTATCAGGCTCTTCATCACTGCCAGCTCATCCGCATAAGCGGATTACAGCATTGACAGGGCTGCCAACCTGTCACCCACGTCAGTACTCATTTCGCTGACAACCCTCTTTAGTTCTGCTAGACCCTTCCTCTTCTGTTCTTCTTCCTCTTTCCTTTCACCCTTTCCTCCATTCTGGCCTTCGTCCTCTGAGACTCCAACCACAGCGACAGCATCCTTTGGGCTTGCTGCCATATCGGGCTTCTCTTCTTCTTAGACACTCTTCTTTCTCTTTGGGAGTTGGCGACCGCTCGCGGACGATCGTCTTCTTCCTATTCTTCTGCCTTGTGATCATGTGAACCTCACCAGTCTCTCCTTCAACTACAAACTCCCTTCCTTCCTCGTCCTTTCCTGCACGGTGGTATTCTTTCCCCAAAACTGTGTGCCGAACAAGGTACAAAACAACCCAGGTAGTTGCCCACTGGCAGAGGTAGGTGGTGACCTGTCACTTGCTGATGTGGCATCTATGCTGATGTGGCCGCTTAATTTTTCCTCCGAGTATGCTGGAAGGTGGCCCCACAGCTTCGGGCCAGCCTTGGAAAAAGCAAAGTCTGCAATCGTTTTTTCGTTTTTCTGGTATAAAAAAACTCATGGAAAAAGAAAGAGAAGAAAAGAAACACGGAAAACTAGTAGCGTGAGGGAATAAGGGCACTCCCCCCCCAAAAAAAAAAGAACGAAGAACGGGTAGCAGATACGTTGCTGCTCGTGGTACTGTTGCTTCATTTTTGTTTTGTCCTCCCGGGTCAGGGGCTTTTCATTTTCTCCTCTCCTTTTTTTTTTTTTTTTTGGGGGGGGGGTTATGTTTCCATATTCTTGCGGTAGATTTGTTCTCGTTTTGTAAATTGGGTGAGTACTGAGCGAGGTCCGCAGTACTCCTGCTTCGTTTTTGTTTGTCCTTGCGTGTCAGGCACGTTTCATTTTCTTCTTTTCTTTTTTTGTGTTTTATTTGTCTTCTGCATTTTGTCGCGCTTTCTTTTCACCCGTGCTTCATTTTCTCATAATCTTTTCTTTTCTTTTTTCCACCCTCAATGGGAACGGCAGCCCTATTCCTTCGGCTTGCCCTGCCCCAGCATTGGCAACCGGCCGCGGACTGGTTTGGGAAGGCAGCCTCAAAGGTACTGGCGGTTTAATGGACCCAATCACTTTGCCAGTGCTAAGATCAGCTCCTGGGATACGTTCGGCTAGGGCCACCAGTGCTCGTTATGACTTTTCACAGCAACTTTTGCTATCCATCCCCTGAGCTGAGCCTAATTCCTGCGCGCTGGATCCAACAGGCCTAGCCCTCCTTCAGCCCGAGGAAACGACAGGTATCCAGTGCCATCTTGGACATGAAGGACTCCCCACAATCGACAGGTGCCACGCCATGCCCCAAAACCGGAGTTTTTATGAGATCCGCTGTTGTAAGAGCAGGCCTTGGGCCAAAGCTTCAATCTGCAGACTGATTAGTACCCCCAAGAACCTTTCTTCTTCTCCCTCTTCCACTCTCTTCGTACCCCACTCCACTTTCAACACAAACTGGGCGGGTAACAGGTATGTAGACTTGCTCCAATTGACTGTGGCCTCTCAGAGAAATGAGTAACACATGACGGCCTTCTGAGCCAGCAGTGAAGACTCCGCGTTCTCGCCAACTACAAACAGATCGTCGGCCAGCGCCTTCACTTTGCATTCCTCTCCAGCGTGAAGCTGTAAACCCCTGATGTTCGGATGGTCATGGATCTTGTTGAGGAGGACTTCCAGTTGCAGAACGAAGATTAGTGGGGCGAGGGGGCAGCCTTGTCGGAGTGACCTTGTGAGGGGGAAAGGAGCCGATAAGCCGCCGTTGATCATGACTGCCAATGAGGAGAAGGTGTACATTGTGACAATTCCGACGCAAAAACACTCACCTAATCCCATTCTCTTCACGGTGGTGAGCAAAAAGGTCCAACCAACTTTGTCCTAGGCCTTTTCCAGATCTAGGAGAAGGACGGCCATCTCCAAGTTCTCTCCCTGCACCACCTCCTAGGCCTTTTCCAGATCTAGGAGGACGGCCATCTCCAAGTTCTCTCCCTGCACCACCTCCTAGGCCTTTTCCAGATCTAGGGGAAGGAAAGCCATCTCCAAGTTCTCTCCCTGCACCACCTCCAAGGTTTCAATAGATGTAACAATGTTGTTGAAGATTGAGCGCCCTTGCAGGAAGGCTCCCTGGTCCTTCTCCACCAACCCCGGGAGCTACCTTGACAGCCTGCGAGCCAGAGATTTCGCAAGGGGATTTTGTAAGACACGTTCAGCAGCGAGATGGGACGCCAGTTCCTGACCTCTGATTTGTCACCCTTCTTGAACAAGACCATGATCACGCCATGTGTCATGCCCTTCCCCAATTTGCCCCCCACTAGGACCTCACTATAGAGTTCAACCAAGAGGAGGGGGGGGACACAAAAGTTGCCCAATTGGCTGCATAATTTTCATACGGGACGCTGGGCCCGGTTCCCAGCACGTGCTGCTCCTCATGAATAGAGTGGAGCATGTTGTCCCCAAAAAGATCAAATTAAAAAAAAATCCACTGTGATTAGTGTTTCTGTGACCTCTTCCAACCTGAGAGGTCGGTCGAAGTCCAGTCTGGCAGAGATCTGCAGTTTGGCCGACGTACTCTCGCACATGTCTGATGAAGCTGTGAGGTCTGTGTTCACATCCTGCTCGGGCGGCTGGTGGAGAGTGTCCCCGTAGTACATCCTGGCGTACTTAAGCAAACCGGCTGCTGACCATGCAGTGGGGGCAGATTCTATGAAGGGGTGTTCCAGTTCAATCATCTGCTGGTGAGACCGGCTTGGTAAGAGCTTCAGAATGGTCTCCTTCGTCATTTTGTCATGTGCTTCTATCCCTTTCTCCTTCAGCAGGTCCGTCCATCTCCATTGCTTTTCCGCCTGCAGGCTGTCCCATTCTGCAAGCCTTTTTTCACGTTCGGCTGCCCACACCATCACTCCCATTGTTGTTGTTGTTGTTTTTTTTAACGCCCTGGTTGTTTTAAAGCCAGGGATCAGCCGTGGGAATACTCTCCGGGGTTCAGTCACTCAAAGTTCGGAATGACCCATTTTACCCTCTGGACCTTCCTAGACGGAGTCCTCTAGGGCGTAGAGCGCTAAGTCCTATTGCAAGTTGTGTCCCTTCACTCCATACAGCTTGCCACCAGAGACCAGATTCTGTCCCTACAGCTCCAACCTCCAACTGGATGTATTGTGGGCCCACTCTAAGCAGCTTTGTCCCCCAACCACTGACTTAGCAGATCCCTAGCCAATACCCCCTCGGACAGGCGTAGAGGGCCTACCTCCCTCCTATTAATGTACAGTATACCCCCCCCTACTCCACCTATCCTACCCACTACTCAGGAGACAGGCTCAGTACAAGTCCTACCCGCGCTATACTTTATCGGTGTCCTCTCTACCAGTCCCTCCAACCCTTATACCCATCTCGTAGCCTACCCTTTGGTCCCTGGACCCGAGGACCCTGATGACGGGGCTATGAGAGTACCCCAATGTCTATACACTGCCTAGAGACGACAAGCCAGCCAGGTAGTCCTGATCCATGAGACAAGCATTGACTCGCACCTGCTGGTCATCAGGCAGACTCTAACTACTTGGACTACCCCGGGTAGTATTTCTACCTATGGTGATTCCCCACCCACCCATGCCGTCTCCGTAGGTGGCCCATGAGGCCACATTGTATGTGAGTCAACTACTCCCCGCGAACAGTGAACTACCCATTAAGCAACCTGAACCATTCAGCCCTACCTACCACAAGGTTCCTGTACCCCTTCCCCCGCACACACCCCAGAGCTAAGACAGCCTTTTTACCCCCGTGGTTTGAGACACACACAAGGGGGAACACAACTAGACATACTACCCACCGTGCCACTCCCCTCCACTATGAAGGCCCCCTTCTAACTGGGAAACCCCATGGTACCCAGACATCTAGAGAGAGACCTCCCTAGGGAGAGGCAGGGAGTAGCAGACCTACGGTTCACTGGGCCCACGTACTATCCTGTAGTCAAGTACTTACTATATGCCAGCGAGGTTCAAGCAGGGTTCGAATGGGGGTTCTTAATGCTCATTTAATACCATGCGCAATGCTACTATGAGCAATCCCTTCAATTCTAGCAGGGTCCGTCTATAGGTGCAACCATATCTGCAACTAGATACAACTACGGTAAGAACTTCGGCAGTCAAGATAGCTCTGTGTATTACCCCAAGCGATCAACTAACTCCTGAAATGCACAACACAAGTTCATATATGTGCCCTCTGGAACCCCCCCCCCCCCCCCCCCCCCNCCCCCCCCCCCCACCAAATGGAGTGACAACCAGAAGAGACCTGAGATCATCGGAACAACGAGCAAACCAAACTCCGAACAGCCCTCCCCCAAGCCCATTCCGGCATACAACAACCATGGACGACGACCCCTTGGCCGGTGCGCAGGCAGTGTCTGTATAAACTTACCATGCGTGGCCCCAAGGGGGGGTGTGCGAATGGCTGGGGACTATGAAAGCGCCTAACAGCAAACGTGTGTGAGGCAGCAGAGTTTTGAACCTGCAACCTCAAACCACAAGGCGCATTTCCAGCGGGTGCCCAAACCACTGAGCCACCAGGCCATTCCCACTCCCATTTTTTTTTCAAATGTGGCCCATTGCTTTTTTTCTCTTTCAATATTCTTCCCTCAATTCCACCTTTCACCACCTACCTGCCACTACCTGCTTATTTATGCACTGCCAGTCGTTATGTTTCTCTTTTTCATTTATAATTGTATTATTATTGATCCCTCAAAGTTTGCATAGCGGAGAACTTTTTCGTTGCACGGTGGTGGAGGACTAAGGTAGGTACGGCGTACGCCCGTTTGACTTGACTGACAGTTTTTCACACAGTCACTGTCATTCGGGAGGAGCAGGTTGTGTGCATCGTTGGGTTCTTAAGGTATCATGTGTGACCATAACGAGCAAATTTTCGAAGATCAAAATTGCATGTCTTGTGCATGCATCTTTCTTAAAAAGAGGAAAACGAGAACGAGAAGGAAAAACAATAAGAAGAGGAGAGGAGGAAGAGGCGGAGGAGGAAGAGAAGACAAGCAGGAGGACTGGGAGGCAGGGGAAGGAGAAGGGGAGAAGTAGGTGGGAGGAGAAGGAGGAGAAGGAGGAGAAGGAGGAGGACCAGGAGGAGGAGGAGTATGAAAAGGAGAGGAGGACAAGGTAGGAGGAGGAAGAGGAGAAGGATGAGCAGCAGGAAGAGGAGGAGGAGCAGCAGGAAAAGGAGGAGGAGGAAGAGGAGGAGCAGGAGGAAGAGAAGAAGGAGAAGGCAGGACAACAAGAAAGAGACATCAAGAAAAAGATATACGTCCCACGCGAAACAGGGGGCAAAGAAAATGGTATGCTGTCCAACCAAGCCAAGTTTTTTTTTTTTCCCCCCCTTTCGTTTCTAGTTTTTTTCCCCTTATTTCTCTCTTTTTTTCCTTCTTTTTCTTTGAAACGTAACCAAGACAAATTTCATAGCAAATTTTTTAAAGGGTCAAGTTTCATACCAAAGCATTGAAGCCCAAAGAGCGCAAATACTCGGCCAGAGGGACAAATTCGTATGCATCCGCCAGGAATCCAGGGACAATCAGAACGGGATCTCCTGCACGACTTCGAGATCCCAACGAGGCTGGCTTGTCGTTTTCGACGGCTTCGTCGCCAACTTTGCCAGATGGATTTGTCTCCTCCCCCGTTCTCTCTTCCACTCCCTCTCCCAAACTCACCACCACAGACTCCGTCCCATGGTTCCTCCGCGCCACCGATCTTCGGTCCCATCGACTGTCCCGGCGCCATCGATCTTCGACGATCGCCTTCTCTTGCCCCTCTTCGCGCCAATTCCAGACTGCGCGCCGAGCGTGCAAGCGTCCACCCTCGCAAGCCCCGCGGCTGCGCATGCAGCGGCAGCTGCGCGCTCGTCGCGCGGCATCTGCCGACCTACCACTCCTGTTACGAAGTGCGATCGCGCATCTAGCCGCCGCCGGTCCATCTCTCCATGTCCCACCAGCGGGGGTATCCTTCCCCGCGCGGAAAACGGCGCCATAGCCGACATCGGCGCGGAACGACGAGCCGACTCGCGCCACTATAACTGTACTGCTGCTGCTACTACTGCTGCCGGCACCGCATCTCTCTCCCCATAGTTCCGGATCTGCGCAACGTGGCCGGGACGCTCGAGCACTCACCCCTGCCCCGTCGAAGGGGCTTTGGGCTACCGATAGCGCGGCCGCAACGCGCGCAGGATGGGCGGACATGGCTCTAGGCACGCCTCTGCGCCCCGGGGGCCGCGGAAGGGCTGCGCGTGCAGGGGCTCCGCACGCGCAGCTCATCCGCCCCTATAAGCCACGATCCGTCAGTCCGCTACCACTGACTGATTGGTTTTGCCGGTGGACCAGCCAGCCGTCGACTCGCGAAACCCGGCGACAAAACGATGATGAAGATGAAGATGGCCGTGACAGCGATGGCTATGCAGCGCTGAGTGTCGTAACGGCACTGGCGATGTCGATGGCGTCGCTATGGCGATGACGATGGTCATAAACTTAAGGTGATAGTGATGGCGACTCTACCAGTAACGGTAATGAGGATGCCGATGACGAAGCTAGATGGTCTGAGTGTCAGTGAGTGACGACAACACAATGGAGAGGCACTGCAGCCACCAGTACACAATACGGGTAGATTTTCGAACTGAACTGGAGCGCGGAATACGGTCACGTACTGGCATTCACCTGGTCTCCCGTCCGGTAACCCGATTTTTGAGCCGAGGGAAACCATGCCCTCCTCTGTGCCGTGCACGCACTTGCGGGTGCCTTTCGGTCTTCAAGAACGACCCGAAGAGCGGCATCTTTGTGCTTGCTTTTTCCCTTTCTCCCTTCTTTTTCTGAAACCGCCAGTACCTCCGCCAGTTGGGAAAATATGGAGGCCTCGGGAGGCTTGAGCGCAAGTTTGGCTGCTACGGGGCTCCTCGTAATACTGTAATGACAACAAAAAAATTCCTCGAAGGCAGTCCTGTCCAGATTTGACAGCTAATTGAATCGATTGGGCTATTTAAAAAAAAAAAAAGGGGAGGCCTCGGGTGGGCCTCCGATCTCTTAGGAGGCCGAAACGAGAAGGCCATGAAAGGGCCATAACTGGAAGTGGTGAACCAGGAGCCGTGATGCTGCTAGATCTTGAGAAGGCCTACAACAAACCTGACTACCTTGAAATGACTGGTCTTCGGACCAAATTTCTGTTTTTTTTTTTTTTTTTTTTTTTTTTTTTTTTTTTTTTTAAATAGCCCTTACGTAAGCCCTCGATTCCGACGGCGGTAAGAGAACCGTCCGAATTGAGGGCTTATCTGTCGGGCTTTGGGCCGAATTTCTGTACCTGGGTCATAGCTGTTTAAGTTTTTTCGTCTGCCTCGGCCATTATCAAGGGCATCATCTCCCAGCCATTCAAGCTAGTGGGGTCACTTTATGTTCGCAGCCTCTGCGCTTACTGCGAGTGTTATTTTGTCGTTTTGTGGGGTTTCTTTTTCGGGAAATGTCGTGGGCATTGAATGGTCTTTGTCGGGGGTCTTTTCGGGGTTTAGGGAAAAAGTGGCAAGGGTGCGGTCGCGGCTAGGAGACGGACCGGTAGTTGCAAGGGGTCGTAGTAGTGTAGGTCTAGTGGTCGTTTGATTAGGTCGTTTGGGTTTGTTGTGGACAGCGCAATGAATCGTATGGTGATGGGTATAAAATGGGTAGTGAGGGGTCATGACGGGTCATGAAAAGTTGCGATGACTCCGCGAAACTCTTTGCGGTCATTTTTTTCGATCGGTGGAAAATGGGCCACTACCTTTCCCAGGCAAACGCAAAGTCCATCTAGTAGCCTACTCCTGAAAACACGGGGCAGGGTTGGAGGCAGACGAAAAAAAAAGAAAAAAAAGAAGAAAAAAAAAGAAAGAAAACTAAGAGTCCCCACTACAGGGATGTGGGGAAAGGCCCTCACGAGGGTGGAAGTTATACCAGTGCTTCGACGAATGTATCTGGCCACTATGTCGGAAAAGGGATTGCAGGTTGTTTTTCTTTTTCTTTTTGTTTTGAAATCCTTGTAGTAACCTGCCAGCCAGGCAGGGCGTGTTTCACAGGTGGCAGGTAACTGTCTCACTGCTGTAGCATCATGTATCTGCCCTCAATCACAGGAAAAGGGATTCCTTCTTTTTTTTTTGTTGCTTCTCTGTTTTTTCCAGTACAAGCCCTCACTGAGGGCACAGTCACACAAGCACCTCATAGAATGTGGGCCTCGCCACACCACTCTCGAAAAGTGCAAAAGACAAAAATTTGGCTGGCGCATCTGCCCATGTTCTGGCCGGAAGTTCATTCTCAATTTACACATTTCCAGACTGGTGTGGCGACGCCCTGTATCTGGTGGTTATCAAGGTGTTCCGGAAGTCTCTTTTTTTCCTTTTTCTTTTTCTTTTTTTTCCCCTTTTTCTTTCTGGGAAAATTTTTGAAATGCCCCTGAAGTTTGCATTTATTTGCGATTTGCCCCTCCGACGACCGACTTAACCTGATTTGCCCCTCGGACAACGATTCAAGTTTCCAAAAAACCCTGGCGTCAATTGGGCCTGAAATATGTTCAATATGCCCCTACCGGTACCAGTGCCAAATTTCCAGTATGCCCCTACCGGAGAGCCGATGGGTACCAGTGCCAGATTTCCATGCTACGCCAAGCCAACTCCTACCGTCTATAATGGTATGTTCACGGCTGTACATTACCCTCCTACCTCCACATCTTCCACACACACACACACACACACACACACACACACAGAGAGAGAGAGAGAGAGAGAGAGAGAGAGAGA